TATGATAGCGGAAGAGTCTGCGACAGATATTACATTGGTAATGTCTATGCTCACAAATGTAGCATATTTGCTTTGCTACCTAGAAAGTCGCCTTAGAGATAATTTAGGCCCTGTAATGATTTTTGTACAGAACAATGCACCCTCAAAGTTCACTGAATTGATATTGCAGTATTAACTTATTGTATCTTTTAATCACGGTAAAGCAACTATTGCAGTGATGACATTATTCGACAGGAGTCTCGAAAAATTAAAAGAAAATATTAGGGGTCCGTTCCGACCTTCTACAGTATACCATCTGGCTGGGGAAGCTCTTGCCGCCATTGAAGTATATCTCTTTTTTGTTCCGACAAACAGATGGTTCGTGAGAATTGCTCAAATTTTAGGAGGTACATGCCATCGGTTATATCCATCGTGATATCAAACCAACTAATTTTTGTATCGGCATCAACAAGGCAGCAGCTCGTTTATATCTGGTTGATTTCGGGGAAACTGTCAAAAATGGAAAAACCATTAGGTTCTTCCAAGTTATTCACGAAAAATTGGCTGTGAAGAAGATTGCAACGTTAGTCTCCCTCATTTTAGGTATGGTGTACCAGATGCATACTCGTTACCTTATTGGGCTATTGACTCTCATAAGAAAGTAGCTGCAAGTCCAAGAATAGATCTTGAAGCCTGGTTGTATACTTTTGCTGAATTGTGAGTGATTGCATGAGCTCAGATCTGACTATCGTGTTTACGCTTTAACCATCTAGACTTTATCCAAACTTGCTGGTGTGGAAACAGTGCCATGTGGAATCCGAGGTTTTAGCAGCAAAGACGAAATTTTGGGATGGTTTGTCAATCGTATTTCTATTTCTTCATACCAATACTTCGTCTACGATAGAGCTTACCCAAATTGTTATCGATTGGCCTCCACAAATGGGTGAAGCAGCAAAACTAGTTCAAGAAGCTCCTGACAAAGTAGACTATGAATCAATGAAACGGTTGATGGAAGAAGCCAAGATCACAGCTTTGAAAGGGTATGTTTTATTATATTGTT